GTATAAAATTAATGTGCAAGATAATGAAAATTACCCGACCTTGGGTCAGTATCGATATTTCTTTTTTATTTCATAATCTCTGGTTTATTATCATTGTGCTAAGGAAAAAAAAAACTTTAAATTTATGTTTCCTTAACAGATGCAAGGGTCTTCTCTCGAGACATTTCTGATTGTCGGAAGAGTTTCTTCTGAAGCCGTGATAGAGTCGAAATTGTTGCACAGTAGGTCCATTTTGTCACGTGTTCATGTGTGGCTTGAGGAGTTTCTCTTAGAAGTCCGATTATTTGGATTGCAGATTGCTCTATGGCTTTTAAAACTCCAGAAAGCTTTGACATTGTGAAACCAAGTCTGGATTTTCTGCATCAGCTGCTCAATTGTTTTTGATCTACAGGCAATAAAGCTCAGGGTACATAACATTTTTTATTCTTACAAGAAAATTGTGGAATATATAAGGGTTCCCTTTATTTATAGTCGTCATTTTTTTGGTGGGGTTAGCACAAGTGTTGATAATTGTTGGTTTTTCCCCAAGATTGGAACATGCATTTGAGAATGTACAATTAACTCAGAAAAATGTTTTTTGATGGTGAAATGTAATCAATAACTCATGATTTATTGAAAAAAGCACAACAAAATGGATTGGAAATGCATAAGGTGAACAAGATTTTCTATTGCAGACATATTATATATATATATATATATGTATGTATGTTGGTACCTAATAAAAAATCATAGATTTTGATTGAAATTTATATAGTAAATTTTATACGGATAGGAATAATCCGCAGTGCCAGCAGTAAGGTTGGTGTTAGGTCAACAAAACGTTTAGACAATCTTATTGAAACATATTTTTCAACAAGTATGAAACTTTTAAATTGAAAATGGTTTACTCTAGAAATAATAAAAATAAAACTATGATATTTTGCAATATGAGTATGCTTTTTATTTAAAAATTATAATGGATCGATTAGCTTAACGGATACAAGAATTTGTGCATTGGTGGAGATGTTTTTCTTCAGCTCTTTCACAAGTTTGATCATAAAGAACATTGATGATCCTCTCAAGTCTCTCATCTACTATTTTTTCAATTGTTTGATGAGTTATAAGAGATTATTACTAAATATTAATGTACTTTAAGGTCCTTAACCTTTCATGTGCATGAAATGCGCATGCAGTAGGGGTCCCTGTGGGAAACAAGAGAGCGAAAATATTTTATGAGATCTCATGAGCGAAACTAGAAAATTAATTGAGATGGGCAAAAGACAAAACAAAAAATTTGGGCGTGCAAAAAATAATCTAAGAGAGGAGCAAATTAAAATTTTTAATTATAATAGTAAAAAAATTAAATTTGAGAGGGGGCAATTGCCCCCGATACATGTAATTTCGTCCCTGTAAGATATTATCCTTAATAATTTTATTTTTTAATTTATGTTCCAGTTTGTTTTATAACATAATGAAAAAAGCTTAGATGTAATATCTTTTCATATGATTCATAACGCAACTCTTCTTTTTTTTTTTTGGTCGGAATGCAACATACATTCTACTTTGTTACTTTTCTTACTATATTTGTAAATTGAAATCTTATTTACAAATACAAATATAATTAAATTTAATTTTATATATACAATATATATGAAAAAATATAATTTTTTGAAAAATAATTGTAACGCGAGAAATAAGAAGCAAAACATATTAATCACATATTTAAATTAATTTTCATTGATCAAATATAAAAAATAAAAATATTAATTACGAAAACTATTGGACATATTGGATAGTTGGTGTATAAGGAGCTAAACCTTCAAGAATAACCCTTCAAACATTCAAATGTGACAAGTTATTTGGAAAATTTGTATTAATATTTAAAAAAATTAAGATCCACTAAAATTTTAAGAAAATATATATAAAAATATATAACATCCACAATAAAGTTCTATAATACTCCAATAACATGATTACTTGGAGTACATAGTATATTCCAATAACATGATTATCAAATTCTAAAAATTAATTATCCCTCTTTTGGGGACTTGTGGAATAGTTGAGCAAATAGTAGCAAATATAGCCGTATTAATAGCATTTGGTGAAAACTTCAACTGTCCTTTACCAACAAAAACCAGCACGCCATTAAAGCTCCTATGCTATGCTACCAACCAACCTTCTCTCTCACACACACACACACCTGCACACGCGCAGTGTGTGTAGACTATGCCCTTCAGTCTCCGTCGTGTGTTCGTACTAGAGTATTAAATCGGGTCTTCAATTCTGGGGCTCGCGCCATTAAATTTCGACCCCAAAAACAGACCAATTTTTCCACCCGGCGAGGTACAATCGGAATCTGATAAGTGGAACGCAAATCGAAGAGAGGAAAGCAGGAGATTAGAAGAAGGAAGAAGAAGAAGAGAGATGGTGGGTCCACAGAGGCCACTGTTTGTGCTTTTCGGGTCGTCGATAGTTCAGCTCAGCCACGGCCATGGCGGCTGGGGTGCCATCCTCTCCGATATCTACGCCCGCAAAGTACGTAACGTCTCCTCTTTTTCTTTTTTGAAGGGAAAAAGAAGATGGGGTTCAGATTAATTTTGGCCTTCGGTTTATGCATTGAAGGTGTTTGAATAAATGACGGGCAATTTCTGTTCAGATTGATTTCTCCAGAGTGTGTGTGTGGAGTCTATGAAGTCAGTTTTTACTGGATAAATGTTCGAATATCGAGATTTTCTGTATATTTGAGTGTCTGTTTGTTAGGAAATTGTCGGGATGTTTTTAGCTGAACCAACTCTAAGAATGGATTTCAAAATTCAAATGACATTGTGTTTGTTTCTATGGTGTTAATGTGGCACTCACCTTGTGGGAGCTACGAATCATTTGTAGTCGTGACTAATGTCCTGATTATTTTGATTGATGTCTGTTAGAGGTGTTCCTTTTCATTATCGATCAAGGATTCAATTTGAACATTTTTCAATTTAGCCAAGATAAATTATTTCTGAAGAAACGGAGTCTCGGAGATATGGAGATAACAAAAGTCTAGGGAACTTGAGAAAAGTGAACTTTTTTATTTCTTGTTTGGGCGAAGTGGTGACATAATAATGTATTGTATAGTTTTATGCGTTCTCAAGATCAGGTTTTTTCATGGAGATGTAGGGTTATTACCGTATTTATCATAACAGTCTCCTTCAAACCTCCCTCTAGAAGTTTTTGGTCGTGGACTGCATAACATGTCGAAATATGAAGCACCATATTTTACATATTACTAGTTCAATTCCTTTCCCGTGATGGAGGCAAGATTCAATTTTTGCATTTATTTTACATGCAAAACCATTAAATAGTTATAGTTTCAGGCGCGATTTTCTTCTTGATTAATCAAACTTGAACTCTTTTTTCTATTTCATTGCATATTTTTGGATACTTAATTTTTATCTCTTTCTCCTTGTAGGCTGATATTATTACAAGAGGTTACTATGGTTGGAACTCGAGACGAGCTATCAAAGTCCTTGATCAAGTTTTTCCAAAGGTATTGCACGGTTTGTTAAGCGTACAAGCTACTTCCAAGTACTTCTAATATCTAGTAATTTTAGTTCTTGCACTGTTTAGCTTCTTTTTTCCTTCTTATTTTTTCAAATATTATTAGTTAGTCACATGTCCGTGTTAAAATGTAGTATTATTTGATTGTTGTAAACTTGCTGACAAAATTAAGAGAAAATGTGAAATTATCTTTGCAGGATGCTTCTACTCAGCCTGCTTTGATCATTGTGTATTTTGGGGGCAATGATTCCATGGGAGCTCACTCATCGGGACTTGGTCCTCATGTACCTCTTCCGGAATATGTTGAAAACATGAGAAAAATTGCAACTCACGTCAAGGTAACTTTTTTCTGATTTGTAAATGCCAGGAAGAATAGGTAGGTATTTCTGAATCAATACAAAATGCAATGGAGCTAAATTCCATAAGTGGCTTTTGGTGGTGCATAATATGTTTGTTATAGTTGAAAATGTCCATAAACAATTCAGCACTTGGTGAAACGCAGGATATTAAAGAAAAAAAGGAACACCTAGAGATTCACTAATGAGATTTCCAATCATTTGAGTAATGTTGTCAATGTTATTAAGCAAAGTCTTCATTCTATGAACGTGAATGTTGTTTTTGCTTTCAGAATCTCTCAGACAAAACCCGTGTGATATTTCTGAGCTGTCCTCCTGTCAACGAGGCTAAAGTTCGTGAAAACACTAGGTAAAAGTGATATTCTAACTATATCACCCTTCACTTCATATTATTCCCTTTTAGTATTTTTCTTATTTCGTTCGTTTTTCTTTTTTTTTCTGCATGTCAGCTCATATTTCAGTGAGCTGGTTCGGACAAACGAGCTGTGCCGTATATATTCGGAAGCTTGTATTGACGTGTGTCGTGAGATGGATGTGAAGGTAGTCGATCTTTGGACTGCAATGCAGAAGAGAGAAAATTGGCCAAATGCTTGCTTTACGTGAGTACAGTCAATCCTCGCTTCTGCTTTTATTCAAACATACATTAGTTGTCATGATACTAATAGAAATAAAACCACCAAATGCATCATCAGGGGAGAAAATGAAAATTGAGTATATCAGCTTCATCAAACAGTTTAGTAGTGTTTCCTTGGCCAACTTTAGATGAAATGAGATGAACTATAGTTTGCTGTGTGTATTATTTTTCTTTCATTCTAAGAGTGTGCTTGTATATCAAAAAATTCAAGCCATATATAAAATCTAACTCAACTTTAACTCAACTCCACTATCCTAAAATTATCAATATAATTAAATATGATAATAATATGAAGCAATCATTCTTACACATCACATCAACTTTAATTTACTATTCATCCACTCACATAATTTTAACTAATTATCACTTCACATCATCTATCTCCTACTTTTACACCAAATCAAATTTACATATTTTAATTTAAATATTATTTAATATGATATCAAAATTCTACTATCAACTAACCATACCACTTTTTTCAAAATTAACTATGGTTAACCAAAAAACTCGTTTTGAGCGGATATATTGGTATCCAAGCAAGTCCTAAAACAACACCCCATGAATTATATTTTAACATTAGAAATAAGCTAGAAGAAAGTTCAAGCAAACAAATATTGAAAGAAATCCATGATGAACTCTCTCTCTCTCTCTCTCTCTCTCTCTATTGGTTTTTATGCAGGGATGGAATTCACTTATCTGCCGAGGGCAGTAAGGTAGTGGTTGAGGAAATACTGAAAGTGCTCAAAGAAGCTGATTGGGAACCTAAACTCCACTGGAAATCAATGCCTACGGAGTTTCCAGAGGACTCGCCTTATGATCTTGTTGCATCTGATGGCAAAACAACCATTAATCCCTCAGAATGGACCTTTCACTGGGAAATTCAATGGGACTAAGGTGAGCCAGTTATCTCAGTACCCACCTGTTGTGCTGGAAATGTTATTCGAGATTCAATAAAAGTCATTTATTTAGATATTATATGTTTGATGTGAATTGATTACGTACCCATTTTTTTCATTGATTTATGGACATTATTATAATATTCAATGCCTATGGGCGAAGGCGAGTTTAGAGTTCGTACTTTTTTTTTTTTAATATGGTGATGAAACTGAGCACCAGGATTCACAGGTACTTGCTATTTTTTTTATAAGATGCTGATTATTTTCTTCGTAGCCTCGAATCTCAATTTGCTATGCATGCTGCTACTTTATTAGTTTTGATACGATGCGTTAAGGTCTCGTTTGGCTTGCTTTGCAAGTCGTTTCGTAATGTGATACGATGCCTCTGTCTCTCTCTCTCTCTCTCTCTCTCTCACACACACATACACATACACAATCGAGATGGCTCAGGTTGTTTAACAAATTCAAAATCATAAATGAGCTATTCGCGAACATGATTCGTGCTACTTTAGTGTATGAAATGACATGCAAAAACTCTCTCTCTCTGCCCATTTATCAATTCATGGTAGTGCTACTTCAATAATCGAGCTGACTGGGATCGTTTAACAAATTGAAATCATAAACGAGTTATTCGCAAACACGATTCATGCTTTCGCGAATATGCTCAGCTCGGTAGTTATTTTGAAACCTATAAAAAATAAATAAGTTGTTTGAAAATGAGCTCGGCTCATTTAGCTGTTCGAGCTGTGCTCATATAAGTAAACGCTGAGTTGATGTTGAGCTTTCACGAGCTGAATGAAGTTGCTTTAGATTTTCTTAATGAAATTAATTAATTCATAAGGTTGGTAAGTTATCATCCGGTGATGGACGGTTCACCTAAGACCTGCTTCTGAGATGGTCCTCAATTGAATTTTTATGCAGATCATTAATTATAAAAGTGGACGATAGACGACGGACAATCTATATCGAAGTTATAATAATATTATGTTATTTTCCATCACATGCATATTCATCATTGGATTAAAATATATTGCTATTATTATTATTATTATTATTATTATTATTATTATTATTATCTATATATATATAATTACTAGCTAATAGTATTTAATAAAACCTATTTAATTTTACCTATGTGGCAATTTAACAATTTTCCCTCCAAAAACCGTTACATTTTGATGTATTTAATCTTTCATTTAATCATTAAATAATTAATACTCATCACTTCAACATTACAAAAATCATTTTAAACTTTTGATTAATGACAGTTGACCATATAATGTGTTGACCGTATAATGTGATTAGATGTTATTATTGTTGTTACATTTAATTTTTTTTTTTGAAAATAAAAAATATATTTGAAATTCTTAAATAAATAATAAATAATTCACAAATAAAAGACGTACCAAAATATACATTACATCCAATCAGATAAACACAATTTAAAAAAAAAATATTCCAACTCTTTTAATTATAAATTTGGTCTGCAAAATAGTGAAAGAAAAATAATTAATCATTATATGCGTACAGACTCACAATAATTTATTTATATCTGTGCAAATGCACAGGTCGAATACTAGTTATTATTAATAAGAGGTTTGGTGATACTTGTTATCTATATATATAATTGATGACAAAATATAATAAATTTTATTCAGTCAGCAATTAATAATAATATGAGTTCATTAATAAAAATAGGTGTTCATTTAATAAAAATATGTTCACATTTAATAATAATATATTTTCAGTTACAAAATTTATTTTGACAAGTCCATTTTAGATGGTGTCAATTTTTGTAACGCATTTTTATGTCCTGAAATACAAAATATTTTTATTTTCATATTGATACTATATTTTTTTTTGATATTATATAAATACATATTTTACAATTAATTAAGAATGACTAAAAATATCTCTATTTTCTATTGCAATCATACAATAATGAAAAAATATTTTTTTGGATATTATAAAGATACATCAAATATTTTAAAAATCAAATCCCAAAAGTCACAAGTCGAAGAAGTTTAATAATAATTATTTGTTGTGATGTGGATCCTGACGATATAAAAACCACAAATATTGTATGCAAAGAAGTGTTTAATAATATTTAGATTCGTTTCTTTAAATTATTTAGTTATGATTTTTATTTTAGTTATGATTTTTCTCATTTATTTAGTTATGTTTTTTATTTTATCCTATATTTTTAATTATTTTTCTTATATTATATCGCTTTTCGTGCAAATGCACGGGGTAAAACTAGTCTAATATAACATGTTCTTGAAAAATATTAGTCGTGGTGAATTATATAATGTTAGTTTTTGTAACACCCCGCTTATCAGAGTAAATTTTTCGTAACTTTTACTTCAAATATACTTAATTCTTTCGAAATCTTTTGCGACTAACTCGGAATGCTACTCAAACTCATCATCTTGAAAATCCGTTTATCTTTACACTTTTGTCTAATACTTCTTTAGACATAATTAAAACAGATTTCCTTTAAACTTGCATTTTAAAATACCATAATCATATTTCTCATAATGGTAAAAACTTGTATCTAAAATTCGTTAAAATGCAAATTCAATACTCAATGTGCATAGCGGAAATACTTAAAAACGTGGTTAATTATACAGACTGTTTTAAATGTCCGTATCAAAGCTTGTCTTCATCTGAATCCACGATCCACACCAACACTGCTCCACTCACACCTCCTCTTCAACCTGTTACCTGAAACTAAAACTCATGGGGGTGAGTAACGAATATGGATAATCATAAACCGATATCTGATCGGTAACTTAAACTTAAACTTTCATTTCTCTGGCCGATGGTTAATCGGGTACGTGTGCACACTCTGATGGATATTTCTAAGGCCCGTTTCGCCTCCACCAGAACTTAGGATATAATATTATGAGACAAATTAATGCCTCCTCATCCCAAGCGTAATAAACCTTAACTTCGGGATATAACTTTTGAGACAACTGATGGTCTCCTCATCCCAATCACATATCGTACTCAATGTGATACCCGTTCAGGGTCCCCACCTTTTGTCTTTGAAAGCATTTGAAAAATGATAAGTGCTGTACTGGTACTGTATCTGCAAGTTACATCAAATATAGACAAATATACTAAGTACTATGCTCGTAATACTCAATAAGATGCTAAGATGCTTGACTCTATCAGATAACTTATCTGGATATAATGGAACACTCTAACGGCTCTCTAAAAATAATACTATGTCCGGAATTTCACTGATATAACTTAAACTGAACTAATTTATTTTCTCGAAAAATATTAAAAATTCGAAATATATTCGGACCAAACATACGAACCAAAATTGACTCGAACCGGCAGCTAAACCGGTTCGAACTAAACTGGGCCGAACTGAACCGTCGGTTCACTGTGGACCGGGCGGTTGCTAATGACTCGGACTGAATACATAACTATGAAAATCATGTCTTTTAAAACTTAATTATTGGCTTTTCCTCGGATGAAACTCAATATAACTCGGACGCAAATAATTTAAAAATCAATTTTACTCTCACATGGAGAAGAGCTAATTTTTCATGCTAATGCACCGAGTATAAGAACTCTAATCTTGCTATACGTTACCAACATTAAAGACATAATTTATAAAAACTATCAATCTCGGCATAGTCATGCTCATAACTAAATTTTTGAATTTAAAGCTTAAATGATCAAAAATTCGAAACTACTTCTTAGGCATGAACTTGGATTGATTTAATCATATAATAATTATTATTATATCATATGATGGCTAAAAAAATCAATAAACTCATGCTAACCTTCACCAAACTCAAAAACAGCACTAAAGCCTTCACTCGGCTTACTCGCATCCTCTCGATAACTTCCCGGCTTTGGCTTAATTCCAGTTGCTATCATCTGAAACTAATGAATTATGCGGACTTCTATGCCTTCACAACATTCCCTAAAATAAGCTGGTGGGGTACTATTTGTTTGAAATAATTAGTAGCTCAAGACTTATTCTTCTCGTGATTTGTAAACGAAGAAGAGAATATATGTAAAAATCCATTAATTGAAAAGGCTTATATAGATAAGAGTTTAAGAGATGGTGGAATTCCTTTAAGTATAATAGAGACATTTGTCCATTTAATAGACTTTAGGGGCAATTATACTCGCTTACTCAACCTTATGTATCGTTAGCGTACTAAATACTCCACCCTTTCAGAATAATTAAACATCAAAATACTTAATATCTTGGTTTGACTTATTCTACAGGAATTGGCTCAAAATAAAATTCGGCAATATGGACTTAGGTGCGAATTGAAATATAGTATTTTTAAGGTGGAACCCTCTCTAATCAGCTACCACGATATTTATAGGCTAAAATACAAGATATGATAGATTATCTCTTAATTAAAGAGACAAGTAGATAACATATGCTTAGTCACTTAATGGATGCCATAAAGAAAACAAATTGATCACGATAAGTAATTGACCATGAAAATGTCCAATAGTTTTATTTATTTATTTATTTATTTATTTTTTTTTTTAATATGCGCCCCTAAATTAACTTAAGTGACAAGAGACTTGATACTTATCATGACTTAGGTGTCATGAATATAAAATATTTTCAGCCATGCAACGTGCTAATATCTCCCAAACTTAATTTGTTAAAAGTAATTTACTAATAAAATAGTTGGAAAATTATAAAACTTGTCATGCTAATCTTCCAACATAGATAAAAATCAATTGGACTTACAGCTAATGTATTAGACTTGATTATTGAGCCTGCGCATTAACTAGCACAATTTCAATGAAAGTGAAATGTAATTTAAGAACACTAAACTCCATATCAACACCATTATCCTGGGTTAAAAATATATTCATTTGAATCTTTTTAAAAAATTTGGGCTCGGCATTCGGCTCTTTTGGCCCGGACTTGCTCGGTTCCAATCTCAATTAGACTTCTACGATTTCTCGAGTTTTCTGGACTTCAATTATCTCACCCACCATAAATACTTAATCCAAACTAATAAAGAATTATTAATATCCATTTATAAAATAAACGGATCGGATTTAATTTCTAGAATTTTCTCGATTACTCAATAGAATTTAACCGAGAATAATTACGACTTAAAGTCGAACTTATAGCTTTAATAACTTAATAACTGGGCTCGATACTTGGAACGAGCATTACTAATAAAAGTAAATTAGTTCAAACTCGGACTAAAAATATTTACTTTTATTAATAACTGAATGGGATATTACAGTTTTGGTGTTACGATCTTAAATGATTTATAATTTAAGTTTGACAAAGTGATAGAAAAAATGAGCCTTATTATTAAAAAAACATATGATATATCTAACTATCTAAGGAAGCATACCAAAAAATTTGTGTAATATATTTATTTATTAAAAAAAAATATGATATAAGCGCATTCTTTGTCATGGTCATACACGACATGCACAATTTGACCCTATATGTCTACATATATCCTACCTATTTTATTTTAATATTTCTATTTCACATTCTAATGTTTCATGATTTAGGTTTTGAATACAATTCATTACATTATAGTTGAATATATATATATATATATTGTGAATGAAGAGATGCACAACTTTCTATTTCATATTCTAGTGTTTCATGATTTAGGTGTGGAAACAATTCATTAAATTATAGTTGAATATNATTTCTTTTAGTACAAAGAAGGAGGCCATAAGTCTAAATGCTAGACTAGAACTCGGCGGGGATAAGAAAGTCAATCGGACAAGAAGAGGCTAATATGCCATTCCCTTTGAATTATTTGGTGAATGGCCTTGACTAAGGCTTCGTGCGCCCCAAAACTACCGCCAGAGCCATGTACTATCTGTAGCATACATTGGTTATCAACTTCCACAATAACTTGACGAAACCCCTTATTCCATGCAAGTTGTAGAACCTGAAAAAGATCCCACAATTCGACAGTAACCTATATTCATAAGAAAGGCCATAGTAAATGTGAGATTATCATTGTGCCAACATAATATTATAATAAATATAAATATTTAGTTCAAAAATATTATACTTTAAAAATAATACCAATGTGAATATTTAGTCAAGGAGTCTTCTCACGCAAGAATTTATGAGGAGAAGTTAACTAGTCGTTTAATTATAGTAATTAATAATTACTATACGCGATATAATTAGAAATAATAACTAGCAAGCGAGGGCAATAATGTAAAAGCAAAAACCCTAAACTCATACTCATCGATCCCGCTCCACCAGAGGTAAGTCTGAATATCTATTTAACTATTTATTCCCATTATTTTTTTACCTATTATCGCAATCGTCCTGAGATTTCTCTTCCCCTACATTCCGTGTAGGCTTCGCTAGGTAAATTCTCTCACTGACGCAAAATCGGAATAGCTTTTTACAGTTTGATAATTGATTTTCTGTCCAATGTGAATCAAGCGCCGATCGCATTAGGTTTAGCTATAAGATTTCTACGTTTTTTCGGTTGATTTGTTATCGATTTTGGAAGTTTGTGGTTGTGGATTCGCGGAAATTTGTGGGATTTGATTATTCTTTTGCGTGTTTGATTTTAGGTAGTTGTTCTTTTTTNAATGTGTTGAGATCTAGTTTTGCATGTTCTCGTTTCGTTTGAAGGATGTGTTAATCTGTTGAATTTTGTGATTAGTTTTGCTAATTTATTTTTTCAGGTGTACCCTAACTGTAGACACCATGCCTCCTCCAGGAGAAACCGAGGTTCTTCTCATCTGTCTTTAGGCTATTCTTAGTGGTTCAGTAGTATCTGAAATATGTGATTTATTTTGGTATTAAATGTGCTCTTCGTCATCTGTCTTTAGGCTATTAATGTATCTGGTGCTATTCCAATTAAGAAGAGGAGATTTCCTATGTTTCGGTTGCCATCTCCCACTCCTGAAGAACATTTTTCCTGCTCAGTTTCGAAGAACAAACAACAATTCAAAACTGCATCTGAAGAAAGGTTATCTTCTGTTGTCTCGAGAAATACAGTGTCCCCTTGCGATTCTGATGTGGGCAAGATCTCTGGTTTAGTAGCTAAAAAAGAATTCGGCCCGAGCAATGTCTTTGCGGTCCAAGCTAATGTGGATGATCTTTCATCAAGGTTTCTTGAGGCGGAGCCCACTGTTGATTTAAGCCGTCTCTCCGATTTGGGAAATAAATTGAACATCTTATCTGCTGGAAAAGAGGGTGAAGTGAAGGGTTCTAAAGCTGCGAATGTGAAGCAGGAAATTTCTAGTGGTCATAAAATTGAAGGTGCCGGGGGACTCAATCTCTCGATGGGTTCGATGTGTGTTGAATTGTCATTTGGACCGAAGGAGCCTGTTGTCCCTTCTTTGGATATCTGCAATTTGTCTGAAAAATCCAGTGATGAGAAGCCTGTTCAGATTGATCACCTAGTCTGCACTAATCGATTATTCTGGGATCTAAACACAACCATGGATAAATGGGAAGTCTATGGGAATAGCGATGCACTAGCCGATGAGCTTGCTTACAATGGGGAATTTGGTAATACAGATAGTTTTGAAGATGAGAAGTCCTCCTTAACTACAACTGGGACTATTATTTGTGCATCTGATTCTGCTGATCAGCAGTGCAAGATTGATATCAATCCCCTTTGTGTCACACATGATATGCCGCATAAGGAGCAATTTTCGTTATCCAAGAGCTTGATCTCTAAAAATGCTTGTCACAGTTTAGGTTTGCAACAGGTACATGCATTGGCTGTAGACATCAACAGGCCCTTGAAATCAGAACCCATTGATGAAATTACCAAACTCGATTGTAGCAACAGCAGCAGTAATGCAGGATTGCTGAACTTAGGTAACGTGAAAACAGAATTTGCTGATAATCACAGTGTGGAACGCATTCATTTTAGCAACTCGGTGAAATCTGTTGCTGTCCACGAGGGTGACCAAGAAGCAATCAAGTCTGAAGATGGTGAACTGCCTCAGTCTATTTCAACGTGTACGCAGCATGAAGAGAGTCCTGCATCTTCTAATTATTCAGTTCCTTCTGTTAGAGTGACGTCGATGCCTCAGAATTCGTGTGGTTTAATTTCGCCAGCTTGTTTGAAGTTAAAACCCAGTGTGGATTTGTCAGCCCATTCTGAACATTCTCTTTGTGGTAAAAAAGAGTTACCTGTCAGCCCGGATGACAAGCTATTCTCAAGGCCACCTGATAAAGGGGATTCGATTGCTGTGGATCCCGATAAGCACAAATTAACTAGGGTGGATGAGGGTACCAATGAATTCGATGATAATAATAATTTCAACGTGTTATCTGAAGCTTCTGAAGAGTGCGCTGAATCTGGTTGTGGTACCCAAACAAATAGCGCTATAGATAATTCGTTGGATAAAGGAGGAATTGTACGTGATAGGGAAGACGAAGAGTACGAGGATGGTGAGGTTCGAGAGCCTTCATGTTTGAAGAGTCCATGCAAAACCAGTTCCATTTCTAAACGATTGCTGACTACTCGAAGTGGAAACGAAAGGTACACTGATCTTGATCAAGAGATGCAACCACAGGGAATATATGCGTAACTCATAGTGGAACGATTTACCAAAAGTAAAAAAAAAGAAAAAAAGAAAATGTCCCTGTTGCTTTGTGATTTCAATTCCTAAAAAATGGCACTCAAAATG